GCTCTATCTTAATTAATATAGTAGTAATCCTGTATAGAGTAGTATTATCTATATATAGGGCATTTTGCTCCCCTAGTAGAAGCAGGCTCTTAATCTAAAGGCTGCTTAAGTGTAGTAGTTTTCCTACCTACTATACGTTAATATTAAGGTCTGCCCTAGTTAGATAGCATGCTTATAGTATGTTAGGCGTCCCCTTTATAGCTCTAGGAGGCTGCACCCCCTTTAGCAAGAAACACTGCATTATTAGCTATAAAGGCCTTATACTAACGTGAACCACAAGCGAGCTGATCACACAAGCGAGCTGATCACTAAATGCGGCACCCTACGTTCACACGCGAACAACTTAACACCACAATAAGCTATTACAACGTACAGTAGCTTAAATTAATTATCTACTTCTACTGTATCTTTTTAGCACGTGCGCTTATTGTGCCTAGTTTCACCGCATGTCTTACAGCGTTGGATACCACCTCTACTACCACCTGCGCGCAGCCTCCTATCACGCGCCTCCTTCTTAAATTGACCATTAACGTCCCTTTGCTCAACTATTGCCTCAGCCTCTACCTGCGATAGGGTCCCTCCTTCCTAAATTCGCTTCTTTTTACGCTTCCTACGCTCAGAAGCAGCTCTATTTGCTGCCTCAAGGTCAGCTACCCTAGCTGCTAAAAGCACCTGAGAGTGTACTATAATATCTGCCCCTTTTTTAAACTGCCTTATTATGTTAATAATTAATGCTGGTAATAAGCTATAGTGCCTCTAAATCTAGTTAAATATAAGCGCTGATTGAGCGTCTATTTTAATGGCGTTGCTTAGTGTTTTAGGCTGCCAGGTGGTATGCCCTAGTAGCAGTGGTGATAGCGTACGAGGCTTGACTTCAAGCTTTAATAACACTACCCCTAGGTTATATAGTACTAAGCTAGTTGCTTAAAAGCTAGATATAATATTCTCCTTTAAGAACGCGCTACTAAATACCTAAGTAAAGGTGGTTAAGAAGGCTTTCTTGTTAATGTAGTTAATGTGGCTATTTGCTAAGACATTGATCTCCTTCTTGTACGCCCGCTTGAGGGGAGCAAAACACCCCACATTAAGGGGCTGTAGGATATGGGAAGCGTGCGGAGGCATATAGAGGGTAATAATCTTGTTCCCCTCGCATAGATCTTGGAAGGCAAGTGACTTATGGCTCTCATGGCCATCAAGAATAAGCAGCTGGTGACTACCCACTGTTTGAGCCTCTGTATGCCAGATGAAGTGCTGTAGCTAGGCAATACTAAGCTTATTTGTTGTCTAACTGTTATTACTAACACCTATTCTCTAATCCTTAGGGTTATAGTACTAGGCTTAGTTGTGATGCTTTGCTTTAAAGATTAGAAAGGGTGGAGCAACCTAGCCTCCAGCGCTGATCGCGGCAATCAACGTTACCCACTCACGATCGCCAGGCTGAATTCCCAATAGCTTAGGGCGCCTTTCAGACGCTGTGACCACCTTTACTGACCCTCTAACACCTATCTAGAAGCTAGTCTTGTCAAAGTTATAGGTATCTTCGTCCAAGATACTGTACGTAGCTTTAACGCTACGTACAAGATCAAACTAGGGGCTGATAATAGCTGGATCGCTGCATAGAACTCTCTAGAGATCACGCTGCCTAGTTACTTAAGATTTGATACCAGGCTTGCGGCGTATGAAGTTGGTAGCCCAGTTCTGGCCAACCTGGGTACCACCACGTGCAGCAAGTAGCTGATCAGCCATTTCTCGTACGTAGCTAAGAGTGGGTGCAAAACCTCGTGCGTTAAGCTTCCTTATATACTGGACTATTGTCTCTTCCTCGTGCTTTACTAGCTTTGATGAATTGGGATGGATATCGCGTCAGGCAGGTGTTTTAGCGCGTTAGGTACTGAGCGTGCTTTGAGGAACGTTGTAGATAGCAGCAGCGCGTCGCTGGCTTAGTGATGTATCAGATTTCATAGCTTGGATGGCAAGGATTAGCCTATCTGCGCGGGAAAGTGATTCAAGATCAGGTAGTTGTGGCATTGTGATGGATAGCAGGAGGTGGTGTTGTCTTGGCAAAGTGATCAGCTCGCTTGTGTGATCAGCTCGCTTGTGGTTCACGTTACCCTAATCTAAGGGGATAATTTATTATTATATACTCTTAGTAGTATTTTATTATCTCCTTCTAACTTATACTAGATTTAAAGTGTCTGCTATCTTAAAAGCTTATAGCCTATATAGGTGTAACCTTTTTTATAGCTATTAGGAAGTCCTTTGTTATTATATTTAATTATAATAATTTAGTAACTTTATACGTCTCTACTTCTATAGCTGCCTAGTTATACTTAGCTAGCTAGGTATCCTATTATGACATGCTTCTTATTAGCTTAAGTGCTAAGAGGTATCTATCTTAGGCTTATTCTTGTTTAATTTATTTATTAACCCTAATAGTAAGTTGTAGGTCTATAATCTACTATTATAGTAGTTTCTTAGGAAGACAGTATGTGTGCAGTAGATATAGCAATATAGTTAACTAGATAAATATAATAATATACTAAAGGCTTGCTTCCTCCTTCTTATATTTATATTAATTATTCTTATATTATTTAAGGAGTACTTTATAATACTTAAGGTCTTCCTTAAATGCCTTCTAGCCTGTTGTTAATAGCTTAGTTAGCCTTAATAGTATGTTAGTATTTATAGCTAGCACATACTTAGTAATAGTTAGAGCCCTTAGCAAGAGTAGCTTTAATAGTAGTAGTGTAGTTGTCTTTAGGTTAATCTTGTCCTAGATATTGCGCAACAGGCATCTTGCATGTAGCTGCGCGAGCTAGCTAGTCTAGTTAGCTTGGTCCCTAAGGACTGTTATTAGGTTGCAGTACGCTAGTTGCGCTATTTTAATTGCAGCAGTGAGGTTACAGCAGTTTAGTTGCAGTAGTGAGACTCTTAATTGTTAGATGCTTGCACTGTGAGCCAGAGTATGTGCTTAACAAGATCTTAGGTGGTATAATGATTTATTGATGATTGTGGCGATGGTTTCTGCCATGGCGTTGTGCTGGTTGCTACAGGATTGAAGTGGGGGGGGGGAATTAGCGCTGTTCGCGGCCGCCTGT